TGATGTCAAATTCGAATTTTGAAATGGAGAACATAAGGGTATTCGAGCTGGCATGTCATGCATTAAATGCAGCCAGATTTTGCAGTTACTTTTGTCATGTGTACGCTGTGACAACTGATGACGTGCGGAATCAAAGCGACGTATGTTTGACACTCGCGAAGTTGAGGCAACTTGCATCGACGATTATAATTACTCAATCCAATAGTTGATTGCCCATCACAGATCATCACCACATGTCACCGTTGAATGGTCTAGATAGCTCAACGAACGGAGGGTTGAGATTCGTCACAAACAGATGGCTTAGATTGCTTACCACCATTTTGACTACCTTTTTAACACTATAAAACGGGCTCTTTCACCCTTAATTCACCCTTACTTGAAAATTATTTGCCTGAGCTTATTTGGCTGTCATTTCCATTTTTCTTTGCAAACCATTGTTCACTCTTTTCATGGTGACTTTTTGGCAAACCTCTTTGTCATCTACTTACAAGTAAGTACTCTACTCTTGTTTTCTCTGGTTTCTTTGTTTGAGTTCTTGAGTTTTTTTTGTTGGGATGGCCATTGCCATGGCCTAGTTAGTTCTGGGGTTTAAACCCACTAAGTTGGGTTTTAAGAGCATTTAGACAAGTGGCTGCCAGAATCCTCCACCAGAATTCTTGGTTGGTTGCTAGGAATCGTTATAGTTCGCTTGTGTTTCTGGGTTTAACTTTAGGTCACTTGCATTCGAGCTTTCTGTATGCCTGAACTGAAGGCAAGCATGGATAGGTTACCTGTCATAACACTTGTTTCTTCATGTTTCAGGTATCCAAAAGCGAGCCAACCAATCATGTCATCCCTTGACCTCAACATTATTCGAAGAGGGCTCCCTAACAATTTTCGCTGATCGTAGGGAGAGAGCTCCTACAACTTGCAAATGTAGCAAGTATACTAATCGCACAAGTAATATATTGATGAGTAGAGTATCGTTCCTACGAGGATTGTAAGTAAAGCATTGAGTTTCCTAATGTTTTCTAGTTGAAGCAATGGAATTCTTTGGATTGGTGGGAGCAAATTTTAAATTAAAAACAACAAAATGAAATTTACTAAGGTTAAAACTTAATTAAGAAAGCAATATGAAAACACGGAATATCAATTCAAGTAAAACGGGTAGGGTTTTGACTTCATTTGGACTTTTATGGGGTAAGCCTATAATTACACTAAACTCATATTCATACGCAATGATTGTAAATCAAACTCACTAACATGTAGACATACCCTTTCGGGCTATGCCTTCCTATTCTTCCTTATTAACCTTCCGCACCCAACAAATTGAAGATTAATAATTTCAAACTCATTATTCATAAGAATCCTATAATGATTTCATTATTTCTTGAATCTATCTCTAGCATCCAATACTATAACGGTGATTACCCAAGAAGCCTAACATGATTCATTTCTCAATCTCACCATGTTCATCACATACAACTTTAAAAATCAGAGTAACACACAACCAAATCATATTCATATGAAAATAACACAATCAAACCCTTAAGCCATTTAGAATCCAAACTACCATCAAAACCCTAACCCAAAAGAGATTAGTTCATAATTAAATCAATAACACAAAAACGAAAATAGGAAATAAACATGTTCAACATAATGAAAATGAGAATAAAGATTAGAAATCTCCCCAAAAGATGAATCCTCTAGTTGGAAATCAAATCTTCTTCCTTTTACAACCCAAACCGCTCAAAGTTCTTAGAAAAATGCAAAAGTGGCTAAACCTAAAATAAAGACGAAGATCCTGGGCAAAAAGACTAAGTTTTTCTTTTATACTTCGTCCAAATAACCCAGCCAAAACACGCACAGCACGAAACTGTGCATTTAACAAAACTGGAATAAGTGACTGTCGCTGCGGCGAAGAATGAAGCAGATAATCTCGTCCCTGGCTTACTTCGCCACGGCGAAGACATTTTCTTCGCCGGGGCGAAGCTTCTTCCTGAGTTCTGAAATTACAGAACTACCACTCCGCTTGCTTCTTCGTTTGATTCTTCGATTCTCGGTGCTCTTCCTTGGAAACAAGCTTCATTGTGCTTTATCCTGCTCCGGAACTCTCCTATCTTCTGAGATTTGCTAATTTCTGAGTAAAAAAATATCCAATTTTGTTCTTATTTGCTCAAAATGACCATTTTAACCTGAAATACGAAAAGTAACGAATTAAGGAACAATTCAGGTCAAAATGCACTAGAAAGTACCTGAAATCCAACAAAAAGGTATAATGAAAAGTGTATAATTCAGGGATTATCAAGAGCTCAGGAAGAGCTCAGTACCGAAGTCCTTAAGAGGAGCACAGGTAGTGGGATTGAAATCTCATGGAATATAAGCGAGGAAGCCACTAATGCAAGGATCTCGTGATCAATTAAGTTTAGGACAGATCCAACTTCGTCGATCGTCTTAGAGGACCTTGAGTGCATAAAGGAGAGTTATGCGACCCAAACTCTCTTCGCGTTCCATAAAAGTTCTTGCTAAAAGATCCCCCCAAAAACTGGGTGGTTATCTCTGAGACCTTTTGAGGTGTGGCATGTCTATCCCACCTAATAACATTATTGCCGACGTTTTGAATCGTTTCAATGTTGCTCCCCTTCAGTTGATAGGGAACTCGTACATAATTATAGTAGGTATGTACACAGCTTATATGTTGAATGATATTGGCAAGCTAACTTTAGAAAAGCTCTTCTACCTGTATAGAAAAAAAAAGTCAGGACCAAACCTATTATCTTTCCAAAGCGAGAAAGACCCATTTAAATGGATTGGTCAGAGTCCCCAAGAAACTTGAAAATTTGGATTCCGAATATTTTCCTACTTTTCTAGGGGTAACGACTCTTTTGCAGATGAAGCTTGTAGGTATCCTTGTCCTTCTGTTGTGGTTAAGTATCCACTAGTCGATTGCTAATTATGTTTTTTCTTTCTTTGTAGAGAACGTCAACCAAAACTTCGTTGGAGAAGACTATAGGAGGCAGTTAAAAATTTTCAACGACCTACTTGAAAGTCATCGTGACGTGACCAAACTAATCATGCTTCCTCGCCTGATTGAGTTTGGGTTTTGTCCAGGTTCTGCAAATTTTTGGACTATCTTTGAGAAAGGTAGAAGCGTATACTAACTCGCTTTCTCATGTATTCCCCTGTTTCCCTTCATAAAGCGTTGACGTGTTTTCCGTTCTTGTAGAGATGTACCCAAGAAACCCAAAAACTACAAACATAAATGTTTTCAGAATGGATATTTTTAAAGAAACATGAGTATTGATTTGTTCACCATAAAAGTTTTTATAAAGAAGTTTTGTAATGAGAGATTTCAACATTAGTTATGAAAGATGATTTATATTATAAAATGCGTATATGGAAATGAGATTTTATAAGTATGAATGTTTTATTGCATATTGAAATGATTTATTGCATACGAACTCATTCCCCACTCACTGAGCATTTCTAGCTCACCCCTCATTTTCAAATGTTTTTTGTTTTTTCCACCAGGTCAAGAAGGAGATTGTGCAAAGGAGTGAATCCCACTCAAGGTTGGCCACACGACTTCATTTCATCATATGTGCCATAGTCATGTTTTATTTTTCGTTGCAAATGTTTCTTCATCATGTATTTATTTTGTGTTTTGGATTGTAAAAGATATGGAAAATCTGATACCATACATTTCATTTTGTAAAAATTGAATTTCATTTGTTTATTTACAAATGATGTTATATTTATTTGTGAGAAACAAAAATGAGTGCTTATAAATTTTTTGCTAGAAGAGTTTTATGATGTTTTAATTCATAAACAGGTTTTATAGTTTCCCACATGGCACGTCTTGGTCACCTGAGTCTCATGGGTGTGCCTGGAGCCTATGGGATAGGGAGGGTCTGGACGGGATAGGTCATATCATTTTCCACCTTTTCGTATCCTATTCTCATATAAATAATCATTTGACACTTATCTACAGATAAGGATAAAGAATCAACCATTCAATTTGCTTCAAAAATTCTACACTTTCATTGTTCATGGATTCTCCCTAGGTTAATTTGACAATGGCTAACAAAACATCGCAACCAAAAGAGTTTGCAACGAATATCAGTAACAACTCTAATTCTCTACCAAAGAAACTAAAAGGTATGAACACAAAATAATAAAACGTCAAACGAAATAGTAATACATATTTCTAGTAACGTAAAAACCAAAAAGAAAAATTCTTGCTTGGTACTTTGAAAGTTCATTTCATGTTTATATTTACAAATTCATGTTATGTTTATTGTAAATTTACCACTTTCATATATTTATAAAATTTGATTGAATTCTATTCTCCAATTGATTTAGCAATTGTTAAAGGGACACCGGAATTGACAAACATTCTCCAAAAAGTTGACACCAACTTAGATGATCTACATGCTGCCAGACAAATATTCAAAAGAGTCATTTACCAAATGTTAGTCATCATGCAATCTGTCATGAATATTATGAACTGAAAAATCTTAAGAAAAATGAAAAAATAAACACCATCTACATCATCTAAACCTACTTGACAGAGTGAAAAACATGTACATATTTCCTTTCTAATAAAAAATATATTAAATAAATTTCACTTCTAGTTACTGATTACTCACTATTAAACTCAATACTTGATTCTCTATATCCTACTTTATTTTGCTCTCAGAGTTACTCATTACCAAATCCAACAACACCTATGATATTACCTATGGAAAAAATATGTTTAACAATTGTTATGGCTGAATATAATTGGTTTCTTTTATTACAATAAAATTGTTTACAAACTGTTTCAAAAAAATCCAATAATCAAGCGCGACCCTTCCATCTAATTGATATATGAAATGGAAAAGAATCCAGGGACCACCTAGAGAGGCAAATACTTGACTATGTGATTTCACATACTTAAATAATATTTTGTCCTTGCAATCCCAATTGATGTATTTATATTTCTCAGTCAGAAAGAGAAGATGGTGACCTGGGACCAATAGATGGACTCCAGGGAAGACTTTTTGGTGCCAGGTTAGTTATTTTCTTTATTTTTAAAGGAATCGCAATTCTTTGTTAAGTAGTCAAGTTCCAACCATCCTCTCTTATATATGGTTTTAATTTGCAGATATACCAACACACGCACGCTGACTACGCAGGCCATGGATATAATCAGTTGTTCGATGTTATTGATAAAACCAAGAATAGACCGGATGACTGAAGAATTATCCTCGCGGCATTGAATCCATCAGACCTCGAACTAATGAACCGTTTACCTTCTCACATATTTGCACAGGTCTGGGACATGACACGTTACTTCTCTTTAAGTATTTTTTTCCCTTTATTTTCTATTTAATGCTATATTTCTTTACTTTGCAGTTCTGTATAGCCAATGGAGAGCTATCCTGTCAAATGTATCAGTTGATATGGCTCTCGGGGTTCCATTTAATATTGCATCTTATGCATTATTAACATCCATGATTGCTCATGTTTGTGGTGTGTATTTATTTTCACTATTGAGTATTTGACGTATTTTAAGTGCTTTTAATTCTAGTTGCTAGTTTCCTTTTCTTTTTGCCTTGTAGCTTGCTTTTTCAAGATGATCTCATTCATGACCTCATAAAGAATCTTTCCACGTGAATTTTCCTGTACAGATCTTATTCCGGGTGATTTTGTTCGTGTTATTGGGGATGGTTATGTTCACGACAACCTTATCAGGGTGCTGCAGGAGCAGCTAATTCAGCAGCGTCCTAAAGCCTTCCCTGTAAGTAGACTGCCAGTTGAATTGGATGAATATAGTAACATTAAATAGCTTCACCACTATTGCTTTTTGCTTACGATTCTCAATTTGTTTCTGTTAAATAGCATGGCCCTAGGCCAATAGTTGAACACACCCTCTGTTATGATGCCATAATCTTTTCGTCATAATCTCAGTATCTCACCCTATGAAATCCTGTGGTCTCAGAAAGAACTACTTTTCGCTCTTCATATTCATGGACATTATACCCCTTAATACACTCTTAATCTTCAGCAATGTTACATTGCTTTTTTTCTTTCAGAAAAATATATATATTTCTGTGAAGAGAGAAGTTTTAATTAATAACAGCAAAGAATGACGTTGTCCCTCCCAACTTTTCCAGGAGCATGTATAGCTTACACAGGAAGCTCCTCAGTATAAATCTCTTGTTGATAGAGATTCTAAACATCCCCTTCAATTTTTAGGAAAACAGTCACGGAGGGTATCAGATAACTTGAAGCTCGAAAACGACAAAAGTAGCACTTACAGTGAAATTATTGTTTATTCCAATGTATTGGGCAATTTTAATTTTTCCTTCATGCTGCTATTATATTGCAAAACAAGGAATTTCTCTTTCCCTTTCTTTAATTTGTGCAATTTGCGCTGCAGATCTTGAGGATCAATCCAGAGAAGGACATAGTTTCATTTGTGGCATCTGACTTTGAACTAGTTGGTTATAATCTTCACAAGATAGGAGATGAAAATGGCTGTCCGGAGTTTTGAAAAGACGGGAAGCGTATATTGCTAATAATATATGTTGATGTTTGATTTTGGACACCAATGACTTGCACGTGTAAAGTGCTAAGAGAGTCTTAGAAATTACATATGATGGATCTATGAGATTTGAATATGGTGCTGAGATTATATATATTGCAGAAACATAAATAATAGACTGACAAGAGAGGTTGTAATAGTGGTTCAGATGCTTAAAGCAAATTCTACATCCATTGTTATTTTATTATTCTCTGAATATTTCTATGATATTGCCCGTAAGACATACAAAGATGAAGAAATATTTTGCTTACAGAGAGAAATAATAAAGCTCAAATTTATGTGTAGCTCTCATATGTCCAACCTCCATTTTCGTGAAGAGAGGTGCTTGTTTATACACATTTGAGGTCAACGAGTGCTTTTGCAAATTGCCTTGACATGTGAGAACCACTCTTTAATCCTTACAACTTTATTTTGATAAAGTTGGGACAGGTGTGCAGTCCTCATCCACTCATAGATAAAACGTGAATCTGTTGGGTTGGTGATAACCCTAGTGGCGGACCTAGGATTTTTGCCCAGGGGAGGCCCCCTCGCTCTGCCACTGGTTGCCAATCAACTAGTGAAAACATAAGAAAATAACATTACAAGGAAACACAAGAAAATTGTTACGTGGAAAAACCTCTTTAATGTGAAGAGATAAAAACACCACGGGAATCTAACGATCCACTTAAATCCAATATAATTAAAAGAGTTTACTGATGCGTATTTTTGACAAACATGCAAATGTAACAAGTGCACTAGTTGCAAAAATTAATAAAGTGATAAGTAGAGTATCGTTCCCACGAGGATAGTGTTACTAAGTACTGATTTCTCTAGTTTAAGTCCTAATTGAAGCAACAATAAATTGGATTGATGGAAAATTAATGAACTAAATACAATTTAAGAAAATATAAATGAATTATAATGAAATTAAAGCAAAACTCAACAACTTAACTAATTAAACAAAATGCTAAAAAAAATGCTAGGGTGTTGATTTCACCTAGATACGCTAACCCAAATCATAGAATTTATTACCCAAGTTCTAATTCCTTGATTGAAAATCGAATTCCCTAAGTTGTAAACATACTTTCTCAAGCTATCTTTTTCTACTTATCCCTATTAAGCTTTCAAACCCAACAAAATGAATATTAATAGTTCAAAGTTTTTTAAGCTTTATGAAATTCTATCTAGATTTCATAAATCGGTAAATCTATCTCTAACGTTTGCTTAATCTACGGTATTTATCCCAAGAGGCATAATCAATCACTTCTTAGTCTCATTGTCAACAACACACATTTGAATGGTGATCAAGTATCCAAAAGTCATTAAGCAAAGAGATAAACACTCAATCATGAAATTAAAACTCAAAATAAATCAATTCATATAAATTTGAATCATTGTATCAAGGTTACATCAAACCCTAGTTAAACAACTCAATTCATACTCAAAAACAAAATAAAATAACAAAAACAAACCGAATCAAGATTCATCATTGAAAAACAAGCAAAAGATGGAGAAAACTTCTCTAATTTGAAGCCCAAATCTTCAATAATCTTTTCCTTCCAAGAGTTGCCTTCTAAATGACGAACCAAGACCCTTTTTCTTTCATTTTCATGCTAATTTATACCCCTTTTACTTAAGGATGCAGCCTTAGCAAGCCAAAACTCGTCATTTTATTTTTCACATCTGACGTAGTTTCGCCGCGACGAAGCTTTTTCCTTACATCGACAAGAATCTTTCGGGCCAAATTTGAGCATGAAGGAGTCTGAATCTGGAAAAGTGTTAAACATATTAATTATAGCCCTTTAAATTATCTTTCTAATCGTTCAAGAATCAGCACAATCCAAGGTCTAAAGCTCAAGTTATGGCAGAAATACTAAAGCACATTCAAAGACGTTTTTCTTCCGTTTCCAACATTCTGTTCACGACTTCAAGCCAAGTTTTCACCCTTGTCCAGTCAGAATTAGGAGAAACCCAAAACATTAAAGTTGCAGCTCTGGTTCTTAGCTTTCCAAAACTTCTAAAATCAGGTCATTCTGAATTTCCAACCTCAAGTTACGCAATTTATGCTCAAAATTGTCATTTATGCTCAAAATCATCAATTAGGCCTACAAAGACAAATTAATAGAATTAGGTAACAATTAAGGCCCAAATTGTATGGAAATATCCTAAATCCTATCGAAATTTAATGCAAAATCATAGGAAAAAATATGATTATCATTTGCAACAGCCACAAATCTACCAAAAATATTTTACACAAATTTAGAGCTCAATCACAACTCTAACAAAAATAAAATGCACAAAAGTTTACAAAAAGATGGATAACAATCACTCCAAATTCAGATCCGCATGTAAGAGAGAAGTTGGGAATTGGGGAAGAAAAACTTGAATATAAAAAAGATAAAACCTAACTTTTTAATTTTTTAACTTTTAACTTTTCTTTTTTACCTTTTACTAAAACTTTTCAGTTTTTTTTTTTAAAGCTGGGCAGGCCCCTTGGGGGCCTGGGTCCACCCCTGGATAGCCCTATCCCTTTTGTCTTGGGGTGACGTGGTAGCTCTTAGACAGCACAAAACCTTTCTAAACTCTGATTGGTTGGTGCTGACATCAATGCGATTTTTTAGGCGCAACAATATATTTTATGTGTATCTTTTTTTTTTTTTTGGTTCCCTTTTCAGGCGGTTCTTTTATCCTTTTCCTTGTATATTTGATTTCACCTGCTATATAACACGAGCCTGAACGGCTTTGCTAGTCCCACTACCACATCACCTTTGTAGAGGGTTTTGATCAGGACTCTTATGTAAATGCTGTCATTCAAAACAGTCTCAAGTAATTTTGACCAATGCACTCAAATTGTGAGTTTAGCATCTTTTACAATCTCTCCGGGGTTTGGTTGTGTGATTCAGATAATTGGTAAGAATATTCTTGATACGTGATTTTGACATCAACCAAACGCACGTGTGAAATGCTGAGCTGGCTCAGAAGACACACGCTGAATGAGAGAAAAATGAGAGTGAATGAAATGACTAGACAATTTTTAAAGTGGTTCGGATGCTTAAGGAAACAAGTCCTACATCCACTAATGTTGTTTTAATGATAGCGGTCAGGTCGCGTTCTGCGACCTAACTTTTACAAAGTGATTACAAGAGAATGTGAGAGAGAGGGAGAGAGTATATGTTGTTTTTCAAGAGATTAGCTAATCCCCAAATTGAGAGAGGAACCCTCAATTTATAGTAGGATAGATTAAGGTTATGGTTACTAAATCTGTGAGTTGGTGGGATTATTCGTACAAATCTTCCTCTATGTCTCATTGCTCACCTTTCAGAGTGATTTACGCGATTTGGTGCAAGAATTGGACATATGAAAGCTCTCTAGCTCTTGGCTGGTCTGACGCGCACCCACTGCACTGACAGGAGCATGCTGCTTCTTTCCTCATATGACTCAGCTGCGGGTGTACCCATGTTTTGACTTTTTGACTTTTGCATGTTGATTGGGTCTTACGTCGGCCCTGCATTCTTCAGGCATAACAAATATGATGAAACATTCTCTTGGCATTCTAATCCGACTATTGTCAGCAACTGTTCAAAGCAATATGTAATGAAAGTTGGCTTTTCCATATGAAGATGACATTCTAACTCCCTATGTTAAAAGCTATGCAATCAAACAAACAAGAAAATACCACAAGGATACTCAATCTAATCAACCCTAGCCAGAAAAACAAACAGACATAAACACTAAATTCCTCAACCGCCCCTGCTGAACTAAAGCCCTCAGCCTTCTCACTGTATTACTGGTGCAACCTTGTTCTGCAGGAAACTGATAAGCCCTTGAAGTGCAACTTCGGCATCTGCACTTTTCATTAGCTCACAGGTAACTTCAGCTGGTGATGCCTGGACCTTCTGAAGCAGCTTAATTCTCAATGTTTTCAAAGAGGTAATGCTCCTGAATATTCAAGTAGCTCGACGCAAGTGTCTTGAAACCGCTAAACGAGCAGTAGGACATGGGTACATGCATATCCATTCGTCCTGGTCTTAGCAGCACTGGGTCAATACGATCCTTGTAATTAGTTGTCAACACTACTATCCGCTCATCAACGCTGCTTGACCACAACCCATTAATGAACTTCAACAACCCAGAGAGAGTAACCTGTTTGCCAATATATTTGAAGTGTTGTTCTCACATCAGATTCCGGTGGAAGAGGAAGAGCAAATGACGGTGGCGAGTGGTGGTGGAAGACGATAGCCGGCGGTGGTGGTGGTAGAGGATAGTTGGCTGCGGTGGTGGGTTTTGTAAAGGATAAGCCTTGCGGTGGAAGAGGAAGAGCAAATGGCGGTTGCGACTGGTGGTGGAAGACGATAGCTGGCGACGATGGTGGTCAAAGAGAATCGGCGGTGGGAGAATGGGTTTTGTAAAGGATAAGTCTTGCAATGGGAGGCTGAGCTTGTTGGATTGCCACCGGAGTTCCTGAAGGTTGATTTTTCCCCCATTCCTTTTTACGTTTATGAATTATTGTTACTCAATGTCACACATCACTAATCTTCATAGGAAAGTAATGGACTTGTTTATTCTCCTTTATAGTATATACTACGAGAAGTAGTCACTAAGATTATTTATTTAGTATATCTTTTTGGGTGCCTGCTTGCAACCGGAAAACCCCCATGGGAAATATCTTCTATATTGCATGCCTCTTAACTTCTTCTGTATACACATTGTGTAAAAACTAATTCATTGATAGAGGCAAAACTGTGTAAATTTCCTTTTTCAAGAATGTGGATGACACGTCGGCAATGGCCGTAGTAGATAATAAAGCAAATGGTTGCTTCAACTCAAGTTCTCAGTACTTTTATAAGTCCTAGACTATGATAGGGAAAACCAATTTCTCCGACGGCAAATCTCCTCACAATTTGCACACAGGCCCACAATTTAGTTATTATTGCTACTCTTCGCCCGATTTATTAATCAGTCAAACCTCA